TGACATCAACCATACAAATAAATACTCTTTGGTCTCAATTTACGTGATACTTTTCATTGTTTGAGAGTCAAACAATTTAATTTGACCGATAATTTGTGCATGAAATCTTCAAAAAAAATTGAAATGAAATTTATATATTTATAAACTATGTAAAAAGTATTATAAGTCACAATAATTGATAATTCAAAATATTTAAAACGTCTATGAAAACATATGGTCAAAAAATAGACTTATTTGAAACCACATAAAATGGAACGGAGGAAGTATGTAAGTATGACATCACATATACGTAAAAGCCTTTTTTGGTCTTTTTATGATTGGACCCCTTTTGATTCGTTCCTCATTTATTCCCACATTGCTAAATCATTCATATTCTCCCCTACTTTACAAGATTCTTTTAAATATTGCTTATTATTCCTTCCGTTAAAAAATAATTATGATACATTATTTATTAGGTTATAAAATTAAAATAGAATAAATCATTTTTTTCATTTTGTTTTTATAATTAATTTTGTTTGAAAATATAAATAAATTTGTTAAATTTCTTTTAAAAAATCTTAACAAATAAATTAGTAAAATTTGACGCACTAAATTTTTGCTATATCCAAATTTCAAAAAGGATTTAGATTGTATACAGCCTTATTTTATACTTTTTTTAATAAATTATTTGTTTTCATTGTTGCAAAATAGGGGGATAATTTTTCATAGTTTAAACTCGTGATTTTCCAATCACATCATAATAACTCTTATTGTTGGGGAGAATTGTATTTTTTTCAAAATCACTTTATTTGTCTTACTTTATACTATAATTTAGTCCGTTTTAAAATGACACATTTCCATATTTAGTAACAATTTAATTTTTAAATATTTATTTTATACTTAATGAAATGATTTTTAACTACACGAATATCTATGATTTATTTTAAATCACAAATTTTTAAAACATTTTTTTCTTTTAAAAACTTTGTAGTAGGTCAAACTAAATCATATAAATTATGACGAAGGAAGTAATTGATTTAGTTTGAAAATTTGGTGCTAAAGAACGAGAGTAATGAAAGGGAATTGGAATTATAAAGACGTGTTGGAAGAGGTAATGGGTAACTGAGGAGTTTGTTAGACGGCATTAATCTCCTTCATATATCAAGCTATTTTGTTGTTTCTTCACATTTCGTGTTCGGTATCCAGATTGAAATCTGATTAAATTTGGATTCGCGTCGAAAATTTCACATTGAGAGTAAAAGTACTTCCTAAAAAAGGCAATTACGTACCCAAGGAGACTCGAATCTAAGTAGACTTCTTAGTTAAAAATAAAAGAATACTTACAATTCCATCACAACCCTTGTCGGTGTTTCTTTCACATTTCACTATCTTCTCATTGTGATTTTTGTGTTGTGAAATATTTGATGGCTTAGGGAATGCCAAGTAGACCTCACAAAGAGAAATACAATGCCAATAATCACGAATGTTCAGAGTTTGGTTTGAATCGATTTTTCTAAAAAGAATTTAAAATTTTCAAATGTTACAATTAAGCTAAATCAATAAAGTTGATTTTTCATCGCTTTAATTTTTATGAATATTTTGGATTTATTTAGTTTTAATTGATTATTTTTCTAATTTATATAAGACTAACATACTGCCAAATATATATTAGATTGACTACTCCAACATATTACTATTACATTAAAATCAACTACATTGATATTTTATTGCTTTAATTTTTTAATAGATAGTTTGGATTTATTTGATTTTTTTTCTAATTTATATATATATATTCGGTCCAAAGAATGTTATTACTATATAAGAGTTGTGTAAAAACATCATATTAGTAGTGCAACTTTCGTTTTTGTAATACTCTTTTTGTTTTAATTATTCATTTTTTTAATTCATTGAAAAAAACTTTCATTTTTGAAAAATTCTTTAATCCCACATTTTCATGTGACATATTTAAAGTTATAAGATTAAAGATATTTTGGTATATTTTTAATTTAATCACAAAATTTTATTTTATTTTTTAATACTATGTCTCGGATCAAAATAAAATATATAAATCGTAATATGTTATTACTCTATCTTTTAAGTTACGATATCCTACTTAAAATGTGAAAGTTATCTATTGCATTACGTCAATTTTACCCAAAAGAGCAAAGAATTTCCACCTCCATTGCAAAAAAAATAAAATATTATACTCTCTCCATTCCATATTAAGTTAATTTTTGAGGTATTTTTCATTTTTCAAATTAATTTAATTGTTCAGTTTTCAAGACTACTTTTAGAGTGTTCTTTCAATTTTACCCTTCATTAGTTAGTATTGGAAGTAGTGATTAATTAATATTTAGTTATTTTAATCATAAATTTGACAATAATTAATAAGGGTAAAAATGAAAAACTAAGTTCAATTTATGTCTTAATCTACTTTTCTTAAAAGGTGTGAAAAACCTAAAAAATTAACTTAATATGAAATGGAGGGAGTATAGTTTTTCCTCCTTCCCTTTTCTATTACGTCCAAGTTATAAATTATTCAAATTTGGTAAATACTCTGACTAAAACATAAGGAAGAACATGTACGTCAATTAAATTAAATTAATTATAATTTGTTCTTATCCTTTAATCCCACTAGAACTCCTCTATATCCCTTTTTCTATGGACAAATATTTCAATATAATTAATAAATTAAATTAATTACTTATTGGATAAGTTCAAAGACAATTTTGATTAGCATGTTTTCAAACTTTTTAGAAACAATGTAACTACTCTATTTATCTCTAATTACTTGTCCATTTTTCTTTTTATAGTTGTCCTTAATTACTTGTCCATTTTGACAAATCAAGAAAGGACAATTTTTTTTACCTATTATACCCTCAATTAAATGATTAATTACTTTGAAAAATGCAGAACTTTTCATCCACTTCATAATTAATAGGGGTAAAATGGTAAACTCACTATGTCATGAATTGATTTCTTAATAGGTGTGTCAATTTAAAAGTGGATAAGTAATTAGTGACAGAGAGGGAGTAATTCATATTTTCCTTAAATTCAACAGAATTATGATGGCATACATATTTTCTCATATTACTACGTCATACTCGTTTTGTATATGTTATAATTAAATGTTTATTCTAATTTGAGAGTGACCTATTAAATAAAAAGTTTAAACTTTATATACTGATTGCGTAAAATATATTTAGACAAGTAGGTTACTTATAAATAACAAATACTAGTTTATTAAGTTCCTGTATGTCACGCCATGAAAAAAAAAATAGTTAAAAATATTTTTAAACATTGAAAATAGTTTAAATTTATTTTTTTAATATTTATTGGACTAGAATTGCCTTTAATTTTTAAGTTAAGACGTCGCTTTTCACCTATTAAACCCAATTGCTTTTTATGATTAAAAATGTCTCATCTTTTCATAAAATTATGAGATGACATATGTAAGATGATTGTACTAGTTTATTTGTCCATGTAAATATTAGAGTAATCCATAAATAATTCGATCTATTCAAATTTATTTAATATTAAAATAATTATGATCCAATAAATGAAAAGAGAGTAAATTAAATCCATTTTAATACGTTTGGAATATTTTAACTTTTTTTTTGCTTAATAGATAAAGAATAATTTTATTTTTCAAGGAATTGGAAAAAAGCTGTTAAGTTCTCAGCATTTTGCTTTTCTTTTACACTTTGACGTTCCATATGAAGGATAACTTGTTGAATTTTTTTTATATCCAGTTTAATGTCAACATAAAAATAAAGTGAATATAATAATAATTAATAATTGGTACAAATATTAAAACTTACTGATTATTACATGTTAAAATATTTATTGATAGTTTTAAAAATTTAGATATTAAGGAGATATCATTAAATAAGAATATACTCCCTTCAAAAAAAAAAAAAAAAAAACTCCCAAGATATCAAAACATATAAAAGTCTTATATTGGTGTTTCATCTCATTATTATTTCATTATAAAAATAATTTTTTTAAAAAGGAAATAATGTGTTATGATCCATAATAAAGAAATCAAAGCCTGCATATAAAGGAAAAGGGAAACTGTTGACCATATAATTAATCAAATAAAAATATAAATTTTCAAACATTTTAAACTTTTGGTTTAATACATCTCTTACATTTGTCAATAAATTTTTATTTAAATTTTAAAATAATGTACGATAGATGAATTTATTAAATTTTAAAATAATGGATGATAGTTAAACATCTGAACACATAATCATAAAGTATTTTTACCATTAACCAGAGGTTTCGGGTTTGAGCCCTGGGCATGGAGAAAATTCTATTGGGAGCGCCACCCCCGAATGGGCCCTGCAGAGCACGATCCAGATTTAGTCGGAGCTCCAATGTGGACTCCGGACACCGGATGGGAAACCAAAAAAAATCATAAAGTATTCTTATTTAATATTTTCTAATAAAATTGCACTTGTTCTCAAAAATCTATTACTCTAGGAGTAAATACTTAACCTCTCGTTATTGTTTTTTCTGAATTTTTCATCCGATGTTTGATACTTACATTGATGTCCGACTAGTTCAAATTTACATTATATAGGGTCTCATTTAGGGAGAAACATTTTCTACCAAGTAATTTTTTTAGGGAGAAACATTTTCCACCAAGTAATTTTTCATACCTAACACTCAAACTCGAAACCTCTAATTAAAAAAAATAAATTGCACTACATAATGGTTGTTAACTTGTCATTAAATTATACATATTATGATGTGTTTGGGAAAAGAAAAATAAATGATAGAACAGGTAAAGGGTGGGGGCAATGTGAATTGAATGAATTAAAAAGTAGATTAGCAAATACATCATGAAAACGTTAGGCTGACGTGAGAACCATATTTAGAAAAAATAAATAAAATCATCTTTTATTTTGACTTTCCCAATTTTCAACTAACCAACACCCCCTATAAATATGCTCACTAATTTACACACAAAACCATATGGTATAAAAACAAAAACATCATCATCATAGAAATTAAAAAAAAATGCCTCCGCGTTCTATCGTCAAGAAATTTCTTGCAAGGCCACAGCATGAAGGATTTGGTGCCGTTGTCAGACGAAGCATCGGAAGGTATGTCAAAAAATTATACTATATATAATGTCATTTTTTTCTTTACGTATACTGTAAATGTTTAATTTCTTTATTGAAATTTTTGATTCAGTCACTGCTACAAACAATGCACATTGATGATCACCAAGAGGATTAATTATTTTTTTGATATTTTTTTTTTCAGGTTTGAGTTGAGATATTTTGATCCTTTTCTTGTTTTGGATGAATTCTCAGTTTCTGCTCCTGCTGGTTTTCCTGATCATCCACATAGAGGTCACATTCTAATCATTAATTCTCCACTATTTTAAGCTATATACATTATCAGCTCACTCAAACAATATCAATTATATGTAAACTTCTTTTAAAATTGAAATTTTTAATCTTGAAAATAAATCCTGGATGACTGTAATAAACGATATCTATCATATACAAACTTCTTTAAATATTGAAATTTGTAATCTTGAAAATAAATCCCCGAGGACTGTTATAGCAAATAAAGATTACCTGACCTATGGTGTATTATAATTTATATTCTAATTTTTTTTCTTTACTAATACTATTTAATTTTTGTACTTTGTGTGTTTCTTAATTTTACAGGCTTTGAAACGGTCACATACATGTTGCAGGTATTATTATTATTTTATAAGAGTAATTGTGTTTCTTCTTTTAATTAAATAACTAAATACAGACATAATCATAACTTTTTCCATTTATGGTCGTGTTCATACAGTGTTTATGTGAATTGTCAAACACTAAACTAATGAATTACTGTATTAATTAATTAATGTCCACATTTTGGAAGGCAGTTGTTGAGAAGATGTGATTGTCTAACTTCTAAGAAAACCACTAATATGCTACCACTTGTTTACAAAAATTAAAAAAATATCAAAGTTTAGTGCTGGTGACAGATATGGATCAATTAAGAAAAATTCAACTAAGTATTAATTATGGAATATAATATAAATACCAATACTAATTAAGGAAGTCTCTTATTTTTTTCATTATTTCATATATATTACTTTCTCTGTTTTAATTAACTACTTAGATCTTCCATTCTTTTTAGTTTTTTTTTTCATACAAAAATCTTTTCTAAAGTTGAAAATAATTTAATTCAAACTTCTCAACTTACTTTTGATAAAAATTATAAATACACAAAATTGAACGAAAGGAGTATGTAAACCCACACGTTTCAAAAAAATTATAATCACACAAATTTCTGACCTATTTAAATATTAAATTTCAACTCTTTCTTTCTAAAAAAAAAATATTCAATCAAGTTAAACAAATTCACATGATATGTAGCTTATTTTCTTTGAAATAAATAAATAATAATAATAAAAATGACGCATTTAGTACGTATAGTGCATTTGTGTGGTGGAGCAATGGCGAAAAAAGTACATAATTATGACATGTTTCTTTCTTCTAGAAGAGTTTATAATACTATTTTTCTAATATCATTAGATGAACAATTTTAATAGTTTACTATTCTCCCTCTGTCCCTAATTACTTGTTCATTTTTTAATCGACACATCTATTAAGAAAATAATAATTGACATAATACATTTACCATTTTACCCCTATTAATTATGAAATAGATGAATTAAAAATTTAAAATTTTCAAAAAATTTTACTTTTTTCAAAGCAATCAATTGAGGATATAATAGATAAAAAAATTGTCCTTTCTCGATTTGTCGAAATAGGGAGCTGTGACACATGAAGATTTTGAAGGTCACAAAGGTACAATTAAAACTGGTGATTTACAATGGATGACTGCTGGAAGAGGAATTGTTCATTCTGAAATGCCAGCTGCTGAAGGAACTCAAAAGGGTTTACAATTGTGGATTAATCTCTCCTCCAAACATAAAATGTATGCATTATTATTCCTTCTATTTTATAACTAAAAAGGATTTTAACTTATATACATTGATATTATACTTCCCTTTTTATTTTATCAGATCATCTAAAAAATAATTATTTGTAAGCTTACATGTGTCCTAGGGCATCTTTTTATAAGGATTACAAGTGGGAACACAAACAAGGTGAAACATTAATATCTATATGGAATAAATATAACTACAAGTAAAATATTAGTGAAATTACAATAAATAATACTCCCTTTGTCCCAATTTATGTAACTTACTTTCCTTTTTAGTCAGTTCCAAAAACAATGACATATTTCTATATTAAGTAACAATTTAACTATAAAAGGTCTATTTTGCCTTTAATGAAATGATTTACAGTCATACAAATTTCTATCATTCATTTTGGACCACAAGTTTTAAAAGTCTTCCTTTCTTTCTTAAACTCCGTGCCGAATCAAACTACGTCACATAAAATGAGACGGAGGGAATAAATTCTAAACTCGTTTTTTTCAAAAGCGTACTAAATTCAATGTTGAACGTCTCGAATCCATCAAATATAAATTTTAAATCCGTCTACAAGTGCAAAAGACATGATCTTGATCAACTAAATTCAAGATCCAATAGCTTTAGGTCATTCATAAAAGTCAAATCTAGACTACGTCTCTATCTAAACATGTACTTTGTATACGACAGGATACAACCGCGATACCAAGAGATACCAAGTGAAAACATAGCAGAAGCAACAAAAGATGGGATCAAGGTGAAAATTATAGCAGGGGAATCACTAGGAGCAAAATCAGCCATATATACAAGAACACCAACAATGTATTTGGATTTCACTCTAAAGCAAGGATCACATCTTCAACAACCAATACCAAAATCATACAATGCATTTGTATATGTCTTGGAAGGTGAAGGTATTTTTGGGCCACATGAAGAATCATCATCAATAGGTGCACATAATCTACTTTTATTAAGTGGTTCTGGTGATGGGCTCGAGGCGTGGAACAAATCAACTAAGCCATTAAGGTTTATATTGGTTGGTGGTGAACCATTAGGTGAACCAGTAGCACAATTGGGGCCTTTTGTGATGAATACACAACAAGAGATTGATCAAACTGTTGAAGATTTTGATAATTATACTAATGGATTTGAAAAAGCTAAGCATTGGAGGTCACAAGCTAGAATTGGACTTGATTATTAGTGTCAAAAAAATGACAAAAATAGTTAAATTAACTTTGGTAGTAGGTTCAAAATAGTCCCTTTGGTATTACTTGATCAATTTCAATCTTTTAAGTTTGTCAAAGTTCGTAATTTTTACCTTTATCAGATATTTATCAAACTCTGAATAAAAAGATATGTAAAAGGCACTCACATTCAAAAGTACATATTTTACTGTTTATGCTTTTTTTTATCTATGATACAATATAATTTTTTTGTTTTAAAAAGTCAATCTTAACTATTTGAATTTGATAAATATTTAATTATTTTTGACAAACTTAAAAGGATCAAAACTGGGTTAATTTCCAAGTCATTTTATTGCAAGTAGTTAAGAATCATCATTGTTTCTTTTGTCATTCCCTTTTTCTTGATGATTTTTTTAAGGTTTTCAATATATCCAAATTCCAAAGAACCCAAATTTGAGTCCCCCATTTTGGCATGTCCCCCACTGTACAATGATCCATCATGTTGTTACATCTTTTTTTATTTTACATTATAATAAGATGGAGGGTTAATTAAAATATCGTAAACTCAATAAGAAGAGTTAGTTATCGATATAGTGTATTGAGAAGATTTCATTAAAGTTATTTTTTTGAATCTTCTTTATATGATTTCCTATAAAGTCATTTAATTATAGTTTTATGCCTTATAAAGGCTTTTTTCTTTTATCATTAGATGTCTTTATTAATTTTTTATTTATTTTTAATGTCAAGTAGGACAATACCTTGACTAACTTTAGGTACACAAAAATGCCAACTGGAAAAAAATACTGATGACCCACTCGTAGTTCTAACCTAATCCTATCAACCAATTATTTATTCAAAAAATAATTATATATAAGAAAAATTAATTCAAACCTCTAATGGATGAATTACTTGATTTGTAGAGATTAAAAGATTCCACACTCAAAATTAACAAAACCCTATATTTTCTATACTCAAATTAACTAGTAATTGCATAAAAATTTGTTCTCATTAGAATAATAAAATTTAATTTCAAAACGATTTAGGACTTAATTTGACATATATTTAAAACTAAACGACTAGATTTAAATTCAAAGCGACTTTATAAAAAATTACTTTGTAGGATCTTCTCCATATTTAAATGACTAGTGTTTACATTTATTTGTATAGCAAGATTTTCATCAAGTTTTTTAAGGAGTAAATTGGTAAAATTATCTTCTTATTTATCATTTCTATAGAGCAACTTTCACATATAGCAAACTTAAAAATTATATTTGTATGTTATAGCTATAGTTTGCATAATTGTGCTCCATAATAAACTTTATGTTTGTTATGACTATTAATATGTATATTTCGCTATACATATACAAAAGAAGCAATTGTATAATCTGCTTCGGTATACATTTACAAAAGAATTAATTGTATAATCTGTGTTTGTATAAAGCGAGAAAGAGAGAAAGACAAAAGAAAACTGGGTAGGGGAAGATCTATATTTGTATAATCATAAGTGTATAGGACGCAAATATATGTATTTATATTTGTATATACAATTTTCTCTTACTTTATACAAACACAAACACAATTTATACATTTGTGTTTGTATAAAGCTAGAGTGGCAAGCGAGATATGGGAGAGTGGCGAGCGAGATCTGGGAGAGGGGAGAGAGGGGAATGAAAAGATATGTATATATACAATTTTCTCTCGCTTTATACAAACACAAACACATTTTATACATTTGTGTTTGTATAAAGTGAGAGAGGCAATGAGAGACTGCCCAACGAGAAACGAGAGTGGGGAGCGAAAAAATCAGGGAGAGAGGCGAAATGACAACAGTTTGCTACGGGTTACAATTAAATCAAACTGTGGTTATAGCATTTAATTTAAATTAATAGTTTGCTATTTTATACAATTTTTCCTTCTAATATGCGTGTAAAAAAAGAAAATGATCAACTAATATGGGACGGAGCGAGTAACAACTTAACTTTAAAATGCCAATTTTATCCTTAATAAAATAATTTCTTGTCACACAAATATCTATAACTTATTTTAGTCCATAAGTTTCAAAAGTCATTCTTTCTTAAACTTCGTGTCAAGTCAAACTAAGTCATATAAATTGGGACGGAAGAAATACTAGCATTATTGTTGCACAAGAAAAAAAGTAAAAATTATTGCACTTATTTATCCTTTAAAAAAGTATAACTAAATTTGTAAGTGTTATTTAAAAGACACGTGAATTGAATCAATTGTAATTACGAGATAATAAAGAAGAATGATGTAAATAATTGATAAGCTAAAAACAATTGAAATGAATCAATATTAAGTAATAATTAGAGTTTGTTGAGCCTGATTCCGATGATATCTTTGATAAGATGATCTCAGATAAAAATGATATTCTTTTCCTTTTTCAACGGATCTTATTTTGACAATGAATAATAAAAACACAAACAAACCATCTGAAAAAACTTAGAGTGCCCCAATATCCTACAAAATTGGATATCCACCATATTAATTTGAGGTGTATTCTCAAAATGAAATACTATAAATAGGAGAATTAATAGCATAAACAAATCGTCCAACAAAAAAAAAAAAAGAAACACAAGCAACAAGCACTATTTTTATTATATTTTTTAAAAATGGAGGCATCAAAGAAGCTTGTTGCAATGTTTCTCGTTTGCATCGTTATGATTTCTTCATCTGTACACGTCTCCATGGCTGATGGAGAAAGTAACGCAGAAAAATTTAAAAAAGCATTTAACGCTGTTGCAACTGAATACACAGTTTGTTACAATATTTGTCAAAAAGTATGCTCCGATGCAGGATTTGGTTACACACATTGTGAGATGAAGTGCGATGAAGATTGCACAGCTAAATTGCTCAAAGGTATATAACGTACCTAAAAGGGTCACTCTATATATGTTCTGTTTGATGGACGAAATCTTCTTATTTTAGAATCAAGTTTTCTTTACATACTATATGTTATGTGATTTTAACGTTTAATAATAGTAAGTTGGTTATGATTTTATAACACATTAATATGTTCTATTTTTGCAGAGAGACTCCAAAACATGAAGAATTAAAGCCTTGGAAATGGACCAAAGGATGCAAATGTAGGGGAAGGAAAGAAAATAAAAGTAAAACAGTGGTTTTTAAATTTTATTTCTACTAATTCATTAATTTACCACTGTATTTGTAAATTTTAAGATTCAATAAAATTGTTTCTTTCTCTAATTATTGTTGTTTCTCTCATCAAATCAATTGCAATTAGTTTCATTTTTTTTATTTTATGTTTCTTAATCTTCTTGATATATATTGGCCAATATAACATTCCTTTGATATACATAATGTCACTATTTTCTGAAATATTTAAAAAATATCACTAGAAAAAGTAATAAGAAAGTCAAAACCATGCATCAGGAATTTTTTTCTTAATATTAAGGGTACAATGGAAATAACAACCAACTTTACTCTTAAAATGATAATCATTTTGGGATAATATTTTTGAGCAAAAACAATAACAAGTCCAGCGTAATTTCATAAAGTGAAGTATGAAAAAGGTAGGATATACATAAATTTTATTCCTATCTTTATGGGATAGAAGGATTGCTTCTAATACACTGTATAAGTGACTATTAATTTGAGATGAAGGGTGTATTGTATATAAAATTCACTCCTTACATATAAGATCTACAAGCAAAATGATGTTTATCGAGGAGTTCCAAAACTAAAAATCTCGATACAACGATTGAACTCTATGAGATCGAATCTCAAGGAAGAAGCGGGAAGGAAAGGGTGGTTGCACGTTTTCTGGGAGTAATGCCTCCTTTCTCTCTCTCCCCCAGGACTCAGTCACTCGGGTATCATATTCATTCCCAACGGGAGATCTTTCTTTTTTTCTTTTTTGTTTCACATTTCTCATCAAAGGAGCTGAAAATCACTCGTTAAAAACTTTATTGCATATATTATACGTAGACGACATACTGGTTGAAAAACGGAGGGTCAGTGAGAGAGTATTTTATATTGTCTCGGTAAGGGCTAGTCCAATCTCTTTTAACACTGCTATAATATTTTGGTAACAAAAAGTTCCTATCATGTTTTACTCATATTACCAAAGGATTAACATAATTTTAGATTAATTACATTCTTAATATTTAACTGATTGACCTAATAAACGAAATATAGGATAATCATTTTTAAAAAAAAATGAAATTTAACTGCAAAATGGAGATACAATTGCACAAAATGGTCTTACTGAGATCAAAAGATGACAAGATCAGCAAGAAGAATGGTGAGGCAGCATGTGAAAACGCCGGCTACAACTGAGGATTGACCGATTGGAGAGGTGGGAGCTGCATTAGCTGTAGACTCATTGCGAGCAGTAGGGGTTATCTTTGCAACAGGAGGTAGAGGTGGCTCAACCACATCACTTTCGGTAAGTATCGGGCTGGGAGCTTCTGCTGGTGGCAAAGATTGACGAGACATGAATTGTAGGAGAACTCCAGGACTAACAAGGCTAAAATACAGTGGTGGGACTTTGTAACGCAAACAACGGTTCCCTATAACCCAGCACATGAATATATCTCAGTATTGAATCACAGGGTAAGTCCATACTTGCCCAAATCAGTGCTATTTCCAAATACAATCACTACATGCCCAAATCAGTAGTAGTTTTACTTTGATACACAAGAAAAAGCACCATATGGCAGATTGCAGCTTACTTTCACAGGTAGACGGAAATTTTTTAATTCAGTACTAACATGATGCATGTGCATGAATTTCAGATAATGCACCAAAAAAATGAGGGAACGATAAATAAAGAGAAGCTAATGCGATGGAAGTATAGGAATTACTTACTTCTGTATGTAGCAGCTGTGCGAGGGAAATCTGTTATAACACCATCAATGCCAGCTCCAACGAAATAATTGTTTATCTCTACAGATGAATCTGAGAAAAAATCCCATGCTTGAGACACAAATTCATTGTTAAAGCGTTGAACGTATACTGAGAGATTTGATGAGTGCAGTTTCTCCATCACATTTGTTTTCCCAACAAGAAACTTACTCTCGCTTGGAAAAACAGAATTCTTGGTTA